ACTCAGTGATTTTAATATAAATGAGCCGAATTAAGATTATTTTCACTGCAAGGACGTATTTGAAGCTTTGAGAATAACAGTCATTACTCAAAGTTGAAATTAAATGGTAAACCTCTTGGGCAATTGTTGATAGGACCAATTCCTCGCTATAATTTAGACACATTTTCCAAATCGATTGAGCACTTGAATGACACTTATTGTCTTTCGCAAGCGTAATTGGCCAGAGATTTATTAAGATAGAACATGAAAACACTTTCGACTAACAGTTGTCACCACGTTCCTTAAGGTTCTCGAGTTTTCAGTTCTTCTGAGTAGTTTTGTTCATATTTCATTTGAACCGTTTACGTGTTAGTTTCTAACGTCCTTAGAAGTCTGTACGTACACGAACAAGCGCCTCCGCTAATACCAAGATCAAGCAAAACCCTTTTGGATCGTACCTAATGTTCTATATTATTTTTTCGTAATTAAATCCCAGATTGTTATACGCACGACTGTTAAAATGCTAGTATGTGGTGATGTATCGTGCGCTACATTTGCTCATTTACAACAGCAAATGTACTGCACAAACATCACCACATACTAGTTAAAAGCAGCTCCTTTTTGTCTCTTTTTTTTTTAGTTGATAGAATCGTATGGTTTTTTGCCGCTTCTTAGTTCAATATACTTTTTACTTTTCGCATTTTTGACTTCTGACATCAGTCGATTTTTTTCCTGTTCGTTTTCTTCTATATCAGCGCGAACTAAATTTAGTGGAGGTATAAGTTCTATTGATTAAATTGTTATTTAATAGAAATGCGCCGGTCACAAGACAGGTAAAATAAAGTCCACATGAAGTACTTACACTGGATTTCGTGGATCCCAGTGAAATGAATTCTGAAATGAAGCACTCCTCACACATACAAAGAACCAGAAATTAACAAAATATTTCAAATTTGAAACGATCATTTTCTTCCTTTGCCAACCGAAGACCAATGTATCACGCAGGGGGTTTTACAGGATAAGAAATGGTTTATCAAATAGGTAAATTCGTAAAGCTCTGCAAAACCCTAATTAAACAGCTGTAACAAAGGCTTCCTTTGGCCATATTTACGTGTGTAATCATCTATTATGTGGTGAGTTGATTAATGTTGTCTCTGGGGAAATAAACTCAGTCAGCCTGGTTTTATGCATTTTATCTCAATTCGTTTTCCTACCCTTCCTAAACACGGATATCAATTTCAAGTGTTCATGTAAACGTTTTGCCGTGTTCAATAATGTTTACCAGGCCAAATCTTATCATGGGCACAAACTATGGAGGCACCACAAAAGCTTGTTTCATGACGTGCCGAGCTGGTGCAGAAGTAGTATGTTTATTGAAATTACGTAATTTAATTGTTGGTTTTCCTGAATACTTGTTAATTGAGAGAGCTAAATTACTTTAAATCGTGGACTCCATGGTTGATTTGCTCGGATCAACGCGGCAAACGCTCGACGATGTCCAATTAACAAGGGAAGAGTGTTACGCCTAGCCCTTCAAACCCTATGATCCTCGATCATTTCGCTACCTTGTTAAAACTTTAGACCCTAACTCATTTCGTGTCACTGACAGATATAAAAAATAATAATAAAGCCTAGTATCATGGTACTATCATGTAAACCGCTCATAGCCGACCTTCTCAATCTTCTGAGGCTTTCAGTCAAAAAACTGAAACACCCTACGCTAAAATAGTGACTTTGCATCTTTTTAAGGCTCAAGACCCTGGAGACCATCCCCTGTCTTCCGTCACATACCAGTCTAGGCCAAGGGAGCACCCCCCTCTCCTGGGGAGGTTACCCAATAATCCGTGTTACCATAACTTTTAATGGCAGTCTTTACACTAGAGCCTAAATAAGGAAAGAAATCTTTCAAGACAAGTAAATTTTTAAATTCTTCAAGTAAAAGGAAGCTTCACACAACGGTTTCTTTTTTTTTTGACTTCAGGTTAACTTAAGCCTATTTTCCCACTCAACAATAAGTCAGTTTTAAGAATGGTTTTCAAGTCATCTGAAACGTTCCTTAATCGATTCAACATTCCGACTTTGATAATATGCGAAGTAAAATAACTTGAGATTCTACTAAGGCCCTCACACACATATCTTTTGGTTAATTAAACTTAGCAGCTCTTAAGACTTACTTAACGGCCTAATGTAAAGGCAACCAATAAAATGGTTTTTCGAGTTTCATTCCACTAGATCAAACCACAGCGCTTCACCTTAACTTTGTTATAGCTCGCTGTATTTCGCCTCTGCGCTAATTATTCTTTGAAAGGTCAACGTTGAAAAAATGTTCAGTCAACCTCTAAAACATATGTTAATTATCTGTAGTGTATCCTCTTCGTTTTGGACTTGTTTTTCTAGCTGGTGGCACGATTTTTGATTTAATCAAAAACTGACTTTATCTGAAAGTACTAGTTTATATGGTTGGCACAAAGAGTCATATAACTGGGAAGTGCTTAATTACTGTTTGATTGTCGCCAAATATAATGTATTTGCTACAAGCGTACGCAACAGCGTCCTGGACTTTGACAGTTTTCTGCTGCGTCTCAACAACAAAATTGATATTCTTCGCACCATAGCTTTTAGATCTAACCGTTTATCGCAATTCAATAAAAAAAAACATGGGACAAACTTCTTTAGATATGTGAATACTAGTGTCATTCCCATAATACTTATTCCTTCAAGCTACACTTTACTGCTGTACTGTTTCACTTATTAGGTTTGCGTCTTTTTCCTTTTATGTAGTTTTTTTTTCCTCTACAAATTTAGTTTTTTTTTTTAATTTAACAATTATTCCACGAGGGCGCGTTGGATATGATTGATGGCCAGCGCGTAGCGCCGAGTTGGCTATAATCATCTCATATCCAACAAGCGCGAGTGGAATAATTGTTTTATTAAAAATGTCCACAAAATATCGTTGAATCTCCCCGACTAGAACGAACCGGAAAAGACCAGGGACTTCCGCTATTCACATGTCACAGGTCTATCAAAACTGTCAACGCGCGAACGGACTCGCCTGGACTGCATGAATGAAAAATCAAAACATTGTAGCGATGAACATTAGTTTTTTAAAAACTCATCGGGATTCTTGGATTTTACTCAGCAGAACAGCTAAAAAAACCTGGTAGATAATATGAAGGAAAAGGATTTTTAAGTGACAGCCGTCGAAGTTACTGTTAATTTGGATTTTCGGTGCAGTTATAAAAGTAAGAACAACGGAGAAAAACTATTACCTCGGTCGCTTGTTATGAAGTTGTTTGAAGCCACAAGCTGGTTTTGCTGAACGAGAAAAGAAACTATACTGCCGCCTCGATTACTCTAGTGAATAGCTGCATAGTCTGTATTTGTAGCTGGTTATTTGTGATTTATATTCTTAATATCGGATAAACAAGCCACAGTTATCTATCGGCGCGTGACTCGATCGGCGAATGGCTTCGCGATCATGAAGAAACAACACTTGCCTTCTTTCGTAGGTGGTCAAGGTGCTTTAGTTCCATGTGTTTTCATGTGTTTTTCGACAAACTTTCAAACAAGCTCTTGTCTCTTTTTTGTTTGTTTTTGTCTTTTATCTTAAAACGATTTGCTTCGGGCGCCGTTCTATCCTTCGCGAAAAAAAATCTCAGCTAGCTTCCAATTTTAAACTGACGCGTACACCGACCATATATGGAGAGCATGGTATAATAGCTCATATACCATAACGGCTAAGCCAATCAAAATGCTAGAATTGCATTATCCAATGATTCAGTTTTTAATAAATATATATATATATATATATATATATAAATTATTTTTCATAGTTAAAAGAACAAGTATTTGTAATTAATTTTTTTTGTCAATAAAAAAATATTAAAAAAAAAAAAAAAAAAAAAAGAAAAAATGTTCCGTTGAAAATAGACTGCAATTAGTTTCGAGTGCTGTTGGCTTGGCTTTTCTACGAATATTATTTAGCGAGAACAAAGCAACCAAAACAAAGGACAATAAAATGTTACATGTGAAGCCTTTTGCGGAACTTAAACACGTTAATGCAAATTCAGTGTAAATTACTAAAACAACGTCAAAACGAATATTTGAAAGTTAGATATGAAACTCGAGGCACATAAAGAATTTCTCCTTACAACAAATACGAAATCGAATATTATACGAACACATTGTCACCCCATGCAAGGGAATGTAGATTCCGGAATCCGGGAAATTTTTGCTTGTGGAATCCTGAATCCTGGGCTTTGGAATCCAGAATAAAGCTTAAGGAGTTCGGAGTCCCGCTTTCGATTTGAATCCGGAGTCCCAGTTCAACTGACAAAGAATTCGGAAACCAACACTTAGAGTCCTGAATCTATGGCGTGGAATCCAGAATCTACGACTGTCTTAGATTCCCTTACACGGGGCAAACATTGGCTCAATGTCTATATATATGCATTACAGAATTCACTAGAGGCACTTGTTCCAGCAGTTTGTATAGGTAATAGCATGATTTGTAGTGATATCGGGCATAAATTCCACGAGTGATATTTCGAAATTGCTATACGTAGCAATTGAGACAATTTTGAAATATCACGAGTGATATTTATGCCAAATATCACGTACAAATCATGGCCGTATTTGTTTATACTATTACCCGCAAAAGTTAGTTGTAATTTTCACACGTAGGTATTTCAAATTGAGCTGAAATACCACCGCTGTAAGCCAATCAAATAGTAGAAATTTCTCATGCAGTAGTATTTTCTCTCAAGTAGACCGCAAACAAGCAAAGTTTTTAACTTTTCACCCCTTAAATCGGTGACCAACATCAATTTTCTTTTAACAACGTTAATATATAATCTCGAAGAAAGGTTATGAGAATCAGTATAATGATCATCAAAGAGAAAACGCTTTGACGCTTTGTTCTGAGGATCTGATTTCTTACGTGATTTCATATTATTTTTTTAGTTCTTTGGTCCTGTGCTCTTTGACAGTGGTAGGGTTGGCTAGCAGGAAACAAAAAAAAACAACAACAGACTTTACTGTGGTTCACTTTGATAGCTGCACAAGTACTTAGACACTCGATATATTTTAATCCATTTACAAACAGTAATTAATTTCCACAATTCACAGTTTATTCAGCTTTAATAACACATTCTTTAATCTCTACACGCAGGATAGCGTAAGTTGCAGTACTTAACAAGCTTTTAACTGAACCAATCTCGCCTTCCAGCTTTCGTTACCCTTGTCCAGTGCAACGAAAAACTAGTTTCTTGATAGCACTTCTAACTAGAGCTTCCAACAAGACGGCGACTAATTGCGTTTAATGTGGTGCCTGAGGTTTGTCCACTTCTTCAACAATGATCCTGCTGACCTGAACTTTTTTAGGAAAAGGGAGCTGGTTTTCGCTCCCTTTATCACAATCACGAACATGAAACTCAACTTTCACTTTACCATTGGCGATACTACCACAGTAACCCTCTATGTTAGCAGGTCGAATACTCAGTTCCTTAGGAGTATGATCCAAGGCACCATCAACTGCAGCTGGGTCTTTGCACTCCTCACCATTGAAAGTAAAGAAAAATCTTTTGCAGCAATGGGTGCAGCCAATATTCCCTACGTACACAACCCGAAGGAAGGAATCCTTTTTTTCTTTCACAAAGTCGCAGACCTATATGGTATAATGGAAATTAAGCAGGAATTAGTCCTTACTTTCTATCACTATTTCTATCTAGAGGAAAAATGAGTAATTTTGCTAAAAATGGCCGTTCAGGAGGATCTTCAGCATTTTAGTCGGAGTACTAATGGCGCTTTCCATTTGTCAGAACCGGACCAATCATTTTGACAATGAAATCGGATTTTTCCCGAAAAACCACCTCCTTCCTGCACTATTTAGGATTTGACTAATCTGGCTGGATATTTTTGATTAATAGTGAAATTCTCATTACATCGGGAAGGGTCTCGCCGGCCATTTCAGACAAATGGAAAGCGCCCTTGGTTACTGTATAAGTTCAACCAATTTTTATTTTTGGACTGAGATGAGCAAAAGTTCATGAAAAGCAGATCACTCAATATTGAAATGAGCATAAGAACGCTAAAAATGAGTTTTCCAAGAAAGAAGGCATATTTTCCCACTAATCTCACGTAATTAAACAGCTTTTTTGTTTTTCACATGCGCAAAAGCCAAAATTTGGATTTTTTTTGCGAATCTATTTCCATCTTTCTCCTCACTCTCTTATTTTCCTTTACCTTTCTTCTTTATCGGCGGTTTTGTTGCCTTCTTTATCGTCTTTCTTTTGCATGGAATTGTGGCAAGCTAACTTTTTAAGAAAGGGACAAATTTAATTTTCAACGAGTAGTATGTAGACTGCGAAATTGGCAGTGGATTTTCCCCAAAATGTTACCTCTTTTTTAGACTGTGACTCTGTCAGGATTGGTCAGAATATCTAAAACGAGGTATCGCGGGAAAGATCTATCTTTGCTGACGTTGTTGCGTACCAATTTATTAACTTAAACTGAAAGCTAAATGGGTCTAGGAAGGAAAATATGCATCGTTCCACATGGAACGAAAACGACCAAAGCAGTCATCGAAGGGTTAAACTGACTCTCAGAACGAATTTCGTGTTGGACATTTTTCGTTCTGTGACACTCATTAGCAGCCCATAGACGCCCCATGGTACCAGGGTTTTTTTAGCTTTAAAAATTTCTAATTATCGTCCTTTTGACTATCCCAAAGGCAGGAAAACTAGCTGGTGTTTGCGTAATCCAGCCACCCTCTACACGAGATAGGTCCTTATCAAATCAATAAAAATAAATTCTTTATTATAGTATGGGGCTTTTCGGGGATATTGAAACATGGAACACAACACAGTTAAGAGCCCCAACTAGTAGCAGGCGATCGAACCAGTTCGCCATTTCACTGGCGTGGTCGAGGATTCGAACTCTGGACTACAGTAAACAAATCCAGCTAGCGGTCAGAGCGGGACTTGAACTTTAGGCCTCCGGATTACAAGACTAGCACTCTACCCGCGGGTCATCCTTCCTCTAAAATACTGCTTCTTGCAAAAAAAGAAAAAGTTACTGTTGCTCTTACTTTAATTGTTCCAACGTCTTTTTTAACGCACTGCTTCCATCGTCGTTTATTTCCTGAAGATCCAGGGATGCCAGGAGGACCCCGTGGACCAGGGAAACCACGAGGACCGGGATGTCCTTTATGTCCTGGCGGTCCACGGTGGCCAGGGGGACCACGATGACAAAACCACCGTCTCTGTGTAAAATATGATGAGAAATTTGGAGATATTTCCAAAAGATCTTAATTATGCTAACTCATTATTCATTCAAAATAATTCACCGTCTCTGACTGGATTTAATTTAAATTTGACTTTTAATTGGTGCAACGAGCAGGTCACGTTTTATAAAAAAAAGCCTAATCATGTTACCGTTTCTGATGAAATAAGTTAAATTTGCACTGCACTATACACTGAAGAGCTGAAAACTCAGTAACCATCACTTTTCAAGACTGCAAAATGAATTTTCCAATCGACCCCGATAACTCCAGCCTTTTCTAACATGAAATGTATATCGTTTCCCTTCAGAGTTCGAGTTACAGGGGTTCGTCTGTGTAACAACGGCTGGTAACAATGTAAGTCAGATGACGAAGGATTGGCTGGAGGATTGCTGTAGTGTTGACCACTGACCAGTGTTAGTTTTATTGCTTTTACAAAAAGAAGAGCTAATGGGATGCATGATACACGAGTGAAGGTACAAGAACCAGCATTCGAGTTATCGGGGTGACTTTCAGTGAATTTTTGATCAAGGGAAAGGACATTTAGTTCAATCGAGTTAGCGGGGAATTCGAGTTATCCGAGTTCGAGTTAACCGAGTAAAAATGACTGAAAAATGGGTGTAATCCAAGGGAAATTGGAATTACTTCAAGTTAGCGGAGAACTCGAGTTATCCGAGTAGTAAAAATTGTCGGGGTTCTATTGTATATGGTGATATTAAAAGCATTTGATTTATTACAGAGCCGTGATATTTAATTTCTGATTGACAGTAACCGGCAGTATGAGTGAAAAGTTAAGACTACTTTAAGGCGCTATTGTTCACTTCTATACGGTGTTTGCAAAGTTGAAAATTGACTTCTTTTCGTCATTTCCGGGGCTACCATAGGACTTGAAGTCTTGTTTGGAATATAAACCTCAAGCTTTCTCCGCGCTTCTCCGTTAATTACATTTTTAAAACTTGAAGTGACCGTCGTATAAACTTTGTACTTACACTAGTCACACTAGATTTTGCCCTTTGTTGGTGCCTTCATGCATTTAACGTCAGATGTAGATAAGAATTAGAGTGACTGCCTACTTTTCTAATACCATTTTTTTGCTTGCAATGTTTCTCACTGTCAAGAATATTACTTCCATCCAACGTTTTCACTAACGCCTTTTAAGGGACCCTCTACTTAAGAAAGGAAAAAACATATTTTATATTTTTACCTCGGCTCTTTCCGCGTTGCCTACGCTAATGACGGCCAAAAGTAGCAGTGGAAGGAATACCAAAGACTGCTCCATGTTGCTTTCGTACCAATAAGGTCAGTGTCAAACACCAAGATCTGATAAAAGAAAGTCGCCCTGGAATAAGCAATACATAATCGGAGTCAACTTTAATTTTTCCAATTTTAAATACTTAAAAGTACTTTTTCCGTTCTGAACATGTTTACTGTACTACCCGAACTTATACTAACATCTCATACCGGACCGGCCCTTGTAAAAAGGTCTGGTAAAAAAGAGAGGATATGGGAAGCGAATTCCTCTTCGTTCCCAGGACCTAAGGCCTAGTTTCTTTTTGACACCTTTAGGGTCCTCTTGTGAAAAGACGACCCTTTTCTCACTTAAGCTAATTCATGTCAAATCATTTGTCAAATACAGGTACCTAATAAGGCCAATATTTGTCCGAAAAAGCTGCCCAAAGGATTTTCAGCTAGCAGGAATTCATTGTTACAAAATGCGAAAGACGGTGGTCGCACATGGAGGTTCGACTGTATAATAATAATACGAGAGGAAAGAGATGTGTTGTCCACCTACCAAGAACTGGATGCTGACGGAACGAAAAGAAAGGACTGCTAATAAACAATTTCGGAGGAAAATGGAAAGCAATGCGACTAAGGTATGGTGATATATTGAATAAGCTCCTGATGTCATTGGTTAGCGATGACTGAATTGAATCCGAATCTCATTCCGGTTACCAAATTCCTGTTCGTTCAATGAAAAGTCAATAATCATAAGTTGGTAAGTTATTGTGTTAGGCAATGCGATTGTGAATACCTAACAGAAATATAAAACACGAAGTTCATCCATAATTAAAGGTACATAAAACTCGACTATGGTGCCATTATGTTAGCTTTTAGTTTAATTATATTTCATGACATCAGGAGTGATCATATTCCGAACAGCAAATAGTTTTCACTAGGTAGGGTGTTTGTTTTGGTACGACTGATTTATCCAAAATTAAGCATCAAAATTTAGCTTCCCAACTAAACGAACTTTGATGTTTTACTATTTTGACAATAGATATCTGGGTAAAATATCGAACTTGTGCTTATACGAAGGAATTCTTTTATAGTGTTTACTTTGTGGCAACCTTTTAAACTACTATTTCCTCTGATATATACCGAGACTGAATTTTTTTCAGCGGAGCTGATTTTGACCTCATCGTCAAGGTAATTAGCAACTAGGGTACTACAACTGATTTTAATTCTACCCCAGTGATGTTTTGTCAAGAAGGAAGGGGTGTCTCATCTTAAAGGAAGCGATAAGCCCTCAGCTGGTCGATTTGAGTTTAAAATCAAAATTCTTCGTAGGAGAGAGGTCGAATCGATAGATTGAAGATAGACTGCATGGCCTTGGCATGCAAACGCTGAGAAGTTTCTCTAGCCTCCCGCTCTTAAAACGGGTTCAAATCCCAGCGTCGACGCCATATGTGGGTTAAGTATGTTGTTGGTTCTCTTCCTTGCTCAAAGAGGTTTTTCCTCCGGGTATTCCAGTTTTCTCCTTTCCTCAAAACGAACACTTTCGAATTCCAATTCGATCTGGAACGCGCGGATTCGTTTTAAAGAGTTCTTGAGATTTATTTTGGGTAAACAAATTGCAAATTACGGTGAAAATTTAAGTGGATTTTGGGGAATCCTTGCGTTTTATTTTTGAGTTAACTTTGGTCGTACCTAAGTGATACCCGATAGTTACAACTCAGGCGAGGAATGAAGCCACAAAGTACCTACAAAATCTACGAAGCGGGCCGAAAATGGTGGTATTTGAGATTTTCTTTCTGAAAAATGATCGCAGGTGATCTCTTAACAAAGTTTATCAGGTCCACTTTTGTTATATTAGCCCTGACTGACACTCAGACTTTAATTCGCATTAACAAACAGTCAGCTCACCAGATAGGAATTTTGAACTTGATACAGCTTATTTATAATCATATGAAGTCACAACTAAACAATGGCTCACCTACAGGAAACGAACCTCCTTTTCAATATTAGGTTATGTTTTGTTCGTCCTTCGTTCCATTGTGTTTGAAGTTTTTAATTTTTGCGGCTTTAAGCACTTTCATCTCTAGCAACTGAAGCTCATCTCGCTGCTAGGCTCCGTCAGTGCCCAGTTGCTGGTAAGTAACTTGCGATTAATTTCGTCAAATTGACTGTTTCATTTCATCGTCTTAGTTGTTTGGACTAAAGTGCTTGGTTTGGACGACTATTTTTGTGAAAATTGCTCTTTTGTGCTTGTTTAGTTCTCTCTCTCTTTACGAGGTTCCTCTATACTCCGGCTTTTGTGAAGGTGATTGAGGCTATGGTTTAAGTTTTTATTTACTCGTGATTGCTCATGTCCCTAGAAAATTTTTACGTGAACGTTCACGTGAAAGGAGTTTTGGAATTACGCTTAACACCCGAGATCGAAGATTTGATTTTAACGTGATTCAAGAAATACGCCGTTTTATGTGAACTGATTTTCTTTGTAATTTAGCTCGGCAAATTTTTACGTTCTGCAATTATGGCTAATATTGAATACTCTAAGTTACTATTAATTTTTTTTCGTGATCTCTCTTTACTTGATTTCCGTTGCATAAGCAACGTTTTAGGTCGTGGAAGTGTAGCAACAGGGGAAAGATTTAGCGATGTGTGTGAAGGATTAGGATCCCAAATCTGTGTTTAGTTAAAACGTCTGCAAATCCAAATACCCTAAATTTAATCATTCCGGACACATTTAAGAAGCCGAAGCAGGATCGGATGCAAAACTTTTTAAATCCCGATTTAGTTACATTACACTTATGATGGTTTTTGTTTAACAAATGAATGCATTTTTCTTTCAGCAGCGCCAAACATGGAATTGTATTTTCCATTTATCGCACTCCTTCTTGTGGTTACAATCTGTAAAGGCAACAGTCCGGAAAAGGTACGACAAAAACAGTCTTTAACTTGAGAGATAACTGAATAATCAAGAAAAGTCATAGATTGGAAAATTGTCTCACGGAAGAGTATTGATCTTTCATGCCAATACTTTTAAAAAGAATTCAATTCAACTTAATTCATTTGATTGCCATATAATGTCATAAATATACAATTCCCGCACCGATGATTTTTATTTTGTCATTAGGGATCTCAGAACATTTCTCTAAATATTTCCCTGGCGAACCCCCTCCAGTAATCTCCCATAAAGGGTACCGAAATAGGTGTCCGCGTAAGGATCGACCACTCACTTCGTTGCTCATTTGCTCTCTCGCCAAAGAAACCAATAGATTCGCCTCTTCTGAGATGAAACTGTATGTCAGATTCTCAAAGTTCCTATTTTGCCGTGTGAATTTTTTTGTATCGTTATCCGAGATTAAGATCTCCAAAACGTCTCATGACGCATTAAACATTAATGAAATGTTTATGGAAGCCCGCAACGCCTTTTAGGTTACTTGATTAATAACCAACAGTGTCCATTTCTCAACGGCGACGATCAACAGGACTGAGTTTATGACTGCATGGGCTTGTAATCGGCAGCTCCGTGATGTGTAGCGGGTCCAGAAAATATCCATTCCTCCATGGAGGGCTCCTTTGCTTTAGACCCCCAAGGCCCTTGGAATATCCGTTCCGGGGGGTGCTTGTCAGACTCCCTCTATCCCCTGGAATTCCCATTATTTTCCAACTGACTTCGTTAGGTAGCGCCTGGAAAGAATACATGATTGTCCGTCATCAATGCTGTTGCACTATAGATAAGGAGAGAAAAATCCTTTTATTGATGTTAACAGATTGTCTAATAAACTCAATTTTCCCTTGTAAAAAAGAAAAAGATAATGATAATCAATCACTTCCTTTCAGTTAAAGAGATGTTAGAAGACGGCTTAGAAAGCGTCCACTTCACGAATAAAAGAAGTAATAGATCGTAATACAGCAACAGCCAGATAACTGGGACGTTATTCATGAGCCGATGTCAACTATCTATTGCGTAAGCGGTGCATACAGCATTTTGCCGACCGTTAATAAAAGATCATCGATGAAATCAAGAATTCTTGTTTTAAAAGACCTTTAACAGTAAAATAACTGATAGCTTGCTCAACAGAGTACCGGTTTATTTATTTATTAATATCATAGGTGACGAATTACTCCTAATTTTGGCACGAAATTTCAGCGTTAATATTTAATTTCACATGTGAAATTACAAAATTGCCATGGCAACTTCCCGTACGTCTCAGTGTCAAGATGGCGACGAAGTTTTAAAATGCCGTGAATGTAGATGTCGAGGCACAAAAAGAAAAAAAGAGAAAACCTGAACACACGAAAGAGCACGTCAAGAAGGATTCTAACAAGTATTTTGTCGAACATTTTTGAAAAAAATTCTGAACTTAAGCCAAATTGTAAGATCTAAACATTTGAGAGAATAGAGTTCTCGATAGATACGATCCAGGATAAACATGTCAAAAATTCACGATTCCTAACGTAATTTGCCACCCATGATATTAATAGGTAAAGAAGAGGGAAATTGTTAGGATTTGGACAAAACGCAAGTGAAATTATTTCCTAATTTCATGAGTATACCATTTGATTACACATACTTATTTAATAATCGTCCAATCTTACTCGCAGCCCCCGAGAAAGACCTCGAGAAGCCATCCCCACCCACTCGGAAAATTGTCTCCTTTATAGTATGATCTGCTTTAGCCTTGAGAGAATCTTGTCAAATACACAGTTTTGAAGGATACAGGTGAATAGGTACGAGGTAAATTCTGCTTCTGATCCAGTTTACGATCCATAGTCGCTCCGCGTTATATTGTGAATATGTATTTACATTTGGGCATCAAACTAGGTAAAAGTGAAACCATGGAGGGTTGGAAGTAATGTTTTATACATCTTCTTTCCATAAGAACAGTTTCGTCGATATCTTTCGGTCAAACAAGTCGAAACGGATATATTTCGAATTGTGGATGTGACTTTTGATAAGTTGGCAAATGCGGATTAAAACTGTAGAAATACTTCGTGCTTTAAACTCTTTGTATCGTAGACATCCAAAAGCATTTTTTTGATTGTTCCGCAGTTCAAAATAAATATGAGTCATTTCATATATTTCCATTCATGTCATTTCCACCAACGGGCATGTTACGATTTCCCAATGGCCTGCTCTCCAGATGGCTTGATTGGATAGAGCGTTGTGTCCTGTCATCTCAAACGTCAGGGTTCGATTCGCAGTCAAGCCTGAAATTTTTCAGGTTCTATTTCAACCGCTTAGGTTATTTATTCAACTGTGAGAATCATTTCCACTTTCATATCTTTATCCGCACATCAAACTGAGTCTTCTTATATTTCCATTAGCGTTTGAATTTTGACACAATTTGTGACACAACTTCTTTAATACCCAAAAACTGTGTTTTCTTTCACGTTATAGTAACGTTGTTTTGTGGACAGAATTTGAACGGAATCGAAATTTTGATCCCGATCAAGTAGCCGATCCTTAAGCGGACGGTCCTTTTATAACATGGCTATATCAAGTACTGTACGATAACATTTTTTAATTCACTATTATAAATAGATAAATAAACATTTTACTGTTCTTTCCAATACCAGTAAGATTTCGATTTTTTCCTCTTAATTATGGTAACCCATTTCATATTTTATTTTACTTTTTTGGTTTTAAGAGCCAGTCTCTGTAAGATCCTCATATCGAGTTTTGCCCACAAAATGGATTTCGCTCATAATTTTTCTGTAGACTTCTTTTAATAAGTATATAACAAATATGAAACTAGACTGGAGAAATTCGCTTCCGT